GAGAGAGAGAGAGAGAGAGAGAGAGAGAGAGAGAGAGAGAGAGAGATGAATAAAAGAGATGTTCAGTGCATAATGGATGTGGGTGGGTACATTGAAGAGGGAAGCCTGTGCGGGGTGTGTGTGTGTGTGTCCAGGCAACTCCATCCAGTCCGCACATATAGTAGGGTAGGTTTGTGGGACCTCTCCCTAGCCTGGGATGCTGTTGGTGCGTCTCCTCCCCAGTCCTCAGGAATGGGTAGGAGAGAAAGACAGAAGCCCCCCTCCCCGCCCCCGGGCCAACCTGCCTCGCGCTAGCCGGCTGGGCGCCTTACCGAGTCAGACCACTGGGAGGCTGGGGGAGCCGGGTTGGGCGAGGAGACGAGCGAGATGGGGGAGCTCTTATTTTGACAGGGGCCTCTCCGGGCTCTGGTATGAAGGCAGAAGGAGGCAGCCAGAGAGCCCCGATGCTTATTCAGGCTGGGGAGAGGAGCCGAGTGGAGGGGCGAGCGAGGCTCCGGCAGTGCAAGGGAGCCCGGGGAGGCGGCGGCGCGCGGCGGAGCCAGTGGCCGGACATGCCCCGGACTCGGGGCCGCTGCACCACCGCCGCCGCCCGGAGCCAGCCGGCCGGACGCCCGCACGCCTGGGTCCCCCGGCGCCGCTCCGCCCGGGGGCTGCGACCAGGACCCTCGGCGTCCGACCAACAATAAGCGCCTAGACAGCCCCCTCCCCGCCCCGCGCCCGCCGTCCCCGCGGGCCTCGGGGAAAGTGAAAGGAGGAGGAGAAGGAAGGAAGGAAGGACGGAAGGAAGGAAGGAAGGGAGGAGGAGCTGGAGCAGGACTCCGAGCCGTGAGGTTCGGGGCCGAGACCCCAGCCCCGAGCCCCGGCCGGAGCGGGTGTGCACCCTCTCCCGCCGCTGCCCGGCGCCCACGACCATGCTCCGCCGTCGGGAGGCAGGAACCCAGGCTCCCAGCGATCCCCGGATACCCTCTCCCGGGCCGGGCTGGTATTGAGATCAAGGCATCCAGGATCAAAAGATTACCGCCTGCCCGCCCTCTCCGCACGTCCAAGTGGCAAGCAGGAGGACCCCAATCCACCCTCCGACCCTCACCTGGTCATGGCTTCCAGCTCCGGCCTGGCGTGAGGACCCCCGACCCGCGCGAGGTGAGGGGTGGGCTGGGGGCTAGGGCGAAAGTCATGGCAGGTCAGCAGCAGCGTGAGGAGGGAGATCCAGTTTGAATCGGGGAGGGGAAACACAGTCTGATTGTTTCTTGCCTTCTGGCACGCACCCCCAGACTGTTCAAGGGGAGGGGGACGCCCCCAGGGTCAGTGGAGGCTACTCGTAGGCCCCCAATTAGGTTGGCAGCCCCAAAGCATAGGGAGAAGGGCTTAGGGGCAGCCTGGGGACCCTGCCACCCTAGCATAGAGAACAAGGCCGGCCTTGGGCCAGCTGGAGCAGCGAACCCTGCCCTGGGGGCTTCTGGGAGATGTAGTCCCCCTCCCAGGCTCAACAACCCCCTGGGTCCCAGCACCCCAGCACTTCTTCCTTGGCTGATGGGAGCTTCCAGAAGGAGATGGGTTGGGGCTGGAGAGAGCTGGGGTCACCCTCTGCCCCCAGACACTGCCTTTGAGCAGCAGGAGCCCAGAGACTGGGGGAGCCTTCTCTGCCAAGGATTCTGAGTGCTGTGGGCTTGGCTGGGGGTGGGGCAGTCACAGTTCCTTGGAGGTGGCCCCTGCCTTGGTCCAAACAAGCCTTTGGGAAGAATGTGAGGAAGAAAAGTGAGACTTAGGCCTTTTTCCAAATGGGTAGTACTACCTCAGGGCTGCTGGAATTTGGTTTCAGGCAACAGGGAAGTCGGGTCTCCCCTTCTCCCTCTTGGGGGCTGAGAAGGGGAATGTCCCTTAAAGTCTGGGAGTCTGGAGGGTGTCTCCCTGGAGCAGTGAAGCCAGGATCAGCTTCTGTCTGTCTGTCCAGCTTCCTTCCTTCCGGGTTTTTCTGACACCCCCTCCCTCCCTCCTCCTCCTGTCTGTCTGCTGCTTGGGGTGTGTGTCTGTGTCCCTGTCTGGGGGGCCTCTGCTGCAGGAGGAAAGGTGTTCTTCTGACAGAGGTGAGCTGGACTTGTGCCTGAGCCCTGGGAAAGGGTCTCTGCAGCCCCCTTGATCTTTTTCCTTCCTTCCCTCCTAACCTTGGCACACTGATTTACCTGGGAAGGCTGTCTGCATTGTATCTGCCAAAATCCCACTAATGTCTCTGAGCAGCTCTTTCAAAGATACCTGGGTCTGGGGTTGGGGTGGTGAGGGCTTCCATTCTCCTTCTTCTTTCCATCTCCTTGACTCTCCAAGGAGCAGCCACTTCCTCAGGGCAGGGATTCCTCTGCTATCCCCCAGCACAGGCTTGGCTGCCTTCTCTGGGTCAGGACCATGATTTCATGGCCCCAGGGGAAGAGCATGCTGAGTCCCAGTCTTCCTGATGTCTGTTCTGAGGCCTGGCTGATAGAAGCCTTAGGACTGAGTGAGCCTGGAAGAGGAAGGTGAGGGGCAAAGTGGGAGGCAGGGATCTGGTACTAGGAAGGAAGGCATTGCCTTCTCCAAGTGATCTGTCTCCTTGGCCTAGGAGGACCAGACCTGAAAGCCCAGCTTTTTGGCCACTTCCTTCTAGGGGATTCTCAGTTACCCCAATTGGGATACGGGTTCATGTTGGGAGAAGTGCTGGTGAAGGGCAGCAGACCTATAATCTTGGGTCCAGAGTGACTCTTGTGCCCCAGGTAGCAGGGGCCCTATAGCTGGAAATGGGTTCTAGAGGTCCATAGGAAAGCTCAGAACAAGTCTCTAATTACTGGAGTGGAAAATCTGGGAGTGGGCAGATATGCAGGGTCCTAAAGAAGGATTGGTGGTCCAGCCACAGAAATCTGGGGTTCAGCACATCAGTGCTAATTTGGAAACCAGTGATTTTGCTTGCTGAAAGTGCATTGGGCACCCATGACTCTGCTTAGCTAGTTCCTGCCACCTGGTACCTGAGTTAGGCAGGAGCTCTAGGCCCGTGGCTCAACTTCCATGACCAGGCAGGGCAGTAGCCTTCTGGGCAGAGGCCTAGGGGGTGGCAGTGTCGACTCAGCAAGGGCTGGAATGCCTGGCACCTGCTTTAGATTAAAGGAGATGCTGTGTAAAGGGGGGGCTGCCTGCCTTTGGGGGGAGTGGCTGGGATGGAGCTCCAGGGAGCCCTGGAGGGTGGTGGGAGGAAAGTGCTAAGGGCTGCAGGCAGCAGCAGCTCTGGCAAGAGTGGAGGGAGCCAGTGCTCACCAGCTCTACAGGCTCTCTCCCGGGAGTCTAAGTGGAGAAGCTGGGACACCACCCCCCACACACCGCCTCTGGCGCCTGCAGGCTGAAGTTCTGTCCCAGCGCCCTGGGGCAGCTCTGGGGAGCCATGGTGTCTGTGTCCAGTCTTCCCAGGATCAGAAGAGGCCCTCAAGGAGGTGGAGGGCACTGTGGGGTTCCTGCTGCCCTGATGCCGTGTTCACTCTCCCTGAAGCTCTTTGGTTGCTGATAGTGAGGAACCTCAAGAGCCTGGGCACCCAAGGGTGACAGGAAAATGGCATCCCTTGCTTCCTTGTACCAGAACCCTGGGCACTGCCCTGTTGCTGACCAGGGGTGGGGGATGAATAAAGGGGGATGGCACCGTGGGAAAGTGGGCAGCTGTGGGAGCGAAGCAGCTACAGGCTGGGTGCCGCAGGCAGGGAGCCTCTGCCAGCCCGCTCTCCCTGGGGTGGGGCTGGCTGTTCCAGGGACTGGCTCAACCTGTTGAGCACCTGGCTGCTCTAGCTTGGCATCTGTGCCCCTGCCTGCCAGACCCAATAGCTGCCCACCCATAGCTACTCTGGAGATTCACACCAGGGGTCTGTGGAAAGAGACTCAGATTGGCTCTAGGGACCACAAGGGCTCTTGTCACGGCTGAGGGCTGAGTATCTCTTCATGGAGTGCTAAGTTTTCCTACGTCCCAACCTCTAAGCCCCACAGCTGAGGCTTCAGAGCTGGATAGCCAGGGTCATGGGCTGAGGGGCTAGGTGAAGAAGGCCATAGCCTTGGAGCAGCTGAACTGCTGCATGTCACTTGGATGGGCGGCCCTGAAGGCAGCCTGGAGTTATAGCCTGGAATTTCCTCTGCTGGGTGCCAGGGCCAGGCCTCTACAGCCCCGCCCCCAGCCTGGCCTGACCTCCCCTCTCCCCCCTCCCTCTGTGAGCTCTGCTGACTTTCCCTAGAGGTTGGGGGAGGGGCAGTAAGGGCATCCTGGCTGCCATGGGAGGGGTAACTTCCTGGGTGTGGGGTATGTTGTGTTTCACTGCCTCAGTCTCCCCTAGGGGCCTCTTGTGGAGAATAGGGAAGTCTTGGTCCCTTACCCTATCCTGAATTTGTGGAGTCCTGGAAGACGCCTAACTCTGCAGGCCTGGGCTGCCCCCCACCCTCTCTGACCCCTTAGTTTTCAGCCTACACTGGGGCTCTTCTAGCAGCCAGGGAAGCAGAGCCATAGGCTATCTTGGAGTAGAGAAAGTGGTCACTGCCACTGTCAGTGGCAGGAGCCAAGGCCTCTCCTTCTTTGTCTCCTGTCCTGCAGCTCAGGCCCTCCCTGTCTGGCTCTGGGCCGGCTGTACCTCCTAACCTTGGTGTCTCTTTCTGGGCCCCCTTTCTAATGGTCTGGGACTCAGTCTTCTCCTGCCAGGGTTGGTAGCCCTGGGCGAGCCTGTCTTCCCCTCCCCCTCACTCTCCACCCCCCAGCCTCTACTGGGAATGGCCCTGAATCCAGCATTTCTAGCATTTCGAAACCAGGATTGTTTTGAAATCCCTGTGTGCTTCTCCACCCCCTCTAACTCCCCCGCCCCCAGGGGTTGTCCTCTAATCTGACTTCACGCTGTGCGTTGTGTGGTGGCTCCTTTGAGTTTGTGTGCTAGCACATGGCCATGTACTACTTTGTGTGTATGTGGCTGTGCGTGTATCCCAGAGTAGGTGTATCTTCTGTTGGCAGTTCTGTGTGACTGGCCAGTATCCTGGATGTTTCCTGACCTCTCTTGAGCTGTCTGTACATTTGGGCATCTCTGTGGGTCTTAAGGGGCTACTTGTGAAGAGTTTGGGGTATAAGGAGATACTTTGAATGTGCCTGTTTACTGGTTGCATGCATCTGGGGGTATCTGTGAGGAATGTGTGCTGGGGTGTGTCTGCGATGTGTGCATGTGCTTGTGCTCACACACTCACTCCTGTGCTTTGCATCTCCCCCCTCCCTGGGAACATGTCTGGGGTGTGTAGTCACAGGTCTCCTGCAGCTCCCTGGGACATGGAGTCCTCTGCCCTTTGATAGGGAGGTTTCTTGGAGCAGGGCCGAGGCTTCTGGCAATTCTGTGGTCCTTGGAGTGGGGAGACTTTGGGATAAATGGTTTTTGCCAAGAGCTGGAGTTTCTCCTTTTCCCTCTCCCTCTGCCCTTTGCTGCCAGGGGCCTGACAACACCAGTCCACCCTCTTGTCCTAAGGATACAGTGGTGGCAGTTACAGTGTAACAGTGCTCTAAAGTAAAGGGCTAGGGAAAGGAGAGTGACCCCTTCACCCCTAAGAGCATTTGCTTCATTGGGGACAGGGAACAGCCAACCAGATGGAAACTGCAAGCTTGGTAGCAAATTTAAGGTTCAGAACAGTTGATTTCCCCCGCTAGGGGCAAATAACAAAATAAGATAAGACGCTCATATTTTCAGCCTGAGCCAAAGACAGAGGACCATGGAATCCAGGCCCAGGCATTTGGGGTGGGACCAGCTGCTATTGTATCCTTGATCCAGGGAAGTCCTTCTTGATGTTTTATCTCATTCCCTCCTACTGCAGTTAGACTGTGTTCTGCAGGAGGGGAGGGCCCAAGGGTTTTATTTTTTGTTTGTTTGTTTCTTTTTTGGTACTGAGGATCAAACCCAGGGGTGCTTTACCACTGAGCCACATCCCCATCCCATTTTATATTTTTTTATTTTGAGACAGGTTCTTGCCAAGTTGCTTAGGGCCTCACCTGGTTGCTGAGGTTTAGCTTTGAACTTGTGATCCTCCTGCCTCAGAGCCGCTGAAAGTACAGGCCCACCATGCCCAGCTATTTTTTGTTTCTTTTGGGCAAAGCAAGGGTGGTGATGGTGGATTTATATTTGTGTGGGATATGGGCTCTAGAAGCCCTGAAACCTTGTTCTGACTCAGTTTCCCATTCTGGAATCTCAGGCAATAACTGAATGCTTTCCTCTAGAAGTATATGTGGCAAGCCAGGGAGGAAGAAGAGGGCCAAGGCAGGGGCTGTTTGTATGGTTTGAAGACCTGTGGAGACAGCAGCAGGGGTGAGCATGAGGATAGGCTGTTCCTTTTAACCCCCCTCCCTGTGGCCTCTGGTCCAGGGCACAGTGGGAAGGAGGGAGGGGGAGAGGC